GGCCACGCGTGCGCCCCAGTGGCCATCGACAGCTGCCAGTGAGCCCTGGCCACCAAGCAAGGACACGCTTCTTCTCTGCGGGCGTCCCGTGCCCACCTGCAGGGCTCTGCTGAAGGAAGGAGGGAAGGAAGGCCAGCAAGACAGCAGGAAGGAGAGGGATGAAGTGGGGTGGCATGGGCTGGGCTGGGAGAAGGGAGAGCCAGGGGCAGTGGGGTGGGGGGACGGTCCCTGCTGCCTTTCCCCCATTTACCTGGCTCCGGGGTGTTTTCTCTGCAGAAGGAGCGGTTCGTCAAACTCCTCGACCAGCTGCACAACTCGCTGCGGATCGACCTCTCCATGTACCGGGTAAGGTGCCTGCCGTGCCTCAGTTTCCCCACCTGTCTAATAAGGTCTGAAACAACAGGCGGCTGTTTTCTCCCACTCCACTCACCCTTGGGAGAGTTTTGTGTGCAATCCGCTCTGTTCTTCCCCTTTGGCAGAACAATTTCCCTGCCAGCAGTCCCGAACGGCTGCAGGATCTCAAGTCCACGGTGGATTTGCTGACTAGCATCACCTTCTTTCGGATGAAGGTATTGCTGGAGCCCCACTCGCCCCATCCCAGACCCTTGCTGGCCACTGCTCTTTGCAAAGTTGGGGTCGCTTTGGCTCCCAAGTAGCTGCCGGGAGGCTGCCCAGGGCTGCGGCTCTGCCTCCAGCATCGCTCCCTCCCCATGCACCCAGGTCCAGGAGCTGCAGAGCCCCCCGCGAGCCAGCCAGGTGGTGAAGGACTGCGTGAAAGCCTGCCTCAACTCCACCTACGAGTACATCTTCAACAACTGTCACGAGCTGTATAGTCGCGAGTACCAGACAGACCCGGTGCGTGGGGCTGGGGGGAGCTGGGATGCCGGGTGCTGTGGAGGGACCTCACTGCCCCCCTCAATGACCTTCCCCATGTCCTCTGTCCTTCTTCGCATGATGCTCCTGCTCCCTCTCCAGAGCGTTTAGCCCTATGCAGAATGAGCCCCAAGCCTTGGGCAGGGTTTGAGCCCCACTGCTGCAGGGTTGAGGCTGGGGTCAGACAAGAGGGGCTGTGGGGGGGACTGCTGGGGTGTTCCCAGAGCCCTCCTGCCTCCTCATTAGCCCCACCTTGAAATCCAGCCCTGCGGGTGGGGTGACCAGAACCTTTGCTGTGTCCTCATCACTCTAGACTAAGAAAGGCGAGGTGCCTCCTGAGGAGCAGGGCCCCAGCATCAAAAACCTGGACTTCTGGTCCAAGCTCATCACCCTGATAGTCTCCATTATTGAGGAGGACAAGAACTCCTACACGCCCTGCCTGAACCAGTGAGTAGGTGCCGGGAAAGGGGGAGTGCCCACACAGTGGCAATGGCAGCTATACTCCTTTAGAAGTGGTTTGTAATGTCCATTCTACAGATGGGGAAACTGAGGCAGGTGGAAGGTGTAGGGGGGATGCATCTCCAAGTAGAGGGCTGGTCCACTCTGTGTCCATACTTTTCCCTCGCCCCAGGTTCCCCCAGGAACTGAATGTGGGGAAGATCAGTGCCGAGGTGATGTGGAACCTCTTTGCTCAGGACATGAAGTACGCGATGGAGGGTGAGTCCCCCCACGCTGACCTGAGCCGGGTGGGGGAACTAGGCGGGAGCCGCATTCTACTCCCACCTCGCCTGTTCCCTGGGTAAACCCATTTCACCCCCTCATCGACACGACACCTAGCTTAAATCCCACTCAAGAAGCATTTGCATCCTCATGTCGTTACCCTGGCATCCCCGGAGCTGCCCTTGGGGCAGCTGCCCCCCAGGTTTTGGGCTTAAAGCAAGCCCCACATGCACTTGCCTTCCTCGTGCAGAGCACGACAAGCACCGCCTGTGCAAGAGCGCGGACTACATGAACCTGCACTTCAAGGTGAAGTGGTTGTACAATGAGTACGTCACCGAGCTGCCCTCTTTCAAGAGCCGCGTGCCCGAGTACCCCACGTGAGTGCAGCACTTGCGGGGCAGGGGAGGGGGTGCTTGCGCCCCAGGGGCTGGCTGGCCTCACTGGGGATGGGGCCTCTCTTCCAGCTGGTTCGAGCCCTTCGTTATCCAGTGGCTGGATGAGAATGAAGAGGTGTCGAGGGATTTCCTGCATGGAGCCCTGGAGCGTGACAAGAAGGATGGGGTATGAACAGAACTGTCAACGGGCACAGGAGCCACAGATGGGGGTGGGCGAGGGGCTTGTCCCTCAATGCCCAGTGTGTCCCCATTGGGACCAAAATCCCCTCCACCACCCCCTGCTGACACTGCCTCTCACTCCCTCAGTTCCAGCAGACGTCGGAGCACGCGCTCTTCTCTTGCTCCGTCGTGGATGTCTTCTCCCAGCTCAACCAGAGCTTTGAGATCATCAAGAAGCTCGAGTGCCCTGACCCCCAGATTGTTGGGCACTACATGCGAAGGTTTGCCAAGGTGGGCAGCTGCCAGGGTGGGGGCCGCTGGGCCAGCAGCACCCCTGGGACCCTGGTCCCAGCCCCAGTCTGGGGCTCCTGGGCTCTCTCATCGCCTCCCATTCAGCTGTAGGGAGTGGCATGGGGCACAGATTGCACCACCTCAAGCAGCAATGCCCAAGTGAATGTATCACCAACAGACCCTTTTGCTAGCACAGGAGATTTGCTAATTAATTAGTTAATTGATTAATTAATCTAGATTAATTTAATGCCACTGCCTTACTGCAATGTAGGGGGGGGGGGGGGTGGGTGGGTGTGTGGGTGTGTGTGT